ATGTCGACACGCAAAACTACTCGGTCTAAGCTGAATGCCCGCCAGCAAAAAAAAAAAAAAAAAAAAAAAAAAAAGACCCTGGCCCGTCCCGTTCACAATGGATTGCGCCTGTAAATGAGCCCCTCCTCCCGCTTGCGAAACCACTCCCAGGTCACATTTGACATCCCCAGATCGTCAACACACCCCATCGCAGGCTGTGGTGTGTGGCCCGAACCACAGGACGGAACCAACATGCGGCCCAGAACACGAGGCTGCCAAGAAAATTCCAAGAGCGTCGGACGCTTTCGTCTGCGCCCCCGAAAACGATCCGCAAGCTGCATTCTTCTCTCAATTTCTTTTTTTTTATCTTAGCCAAAAGGCCGAGAATGGTCTTCTTCTTCGGGTCGTGTTGATCACGTTACGCGCCCGTGCGGCCCGGGCGGCCCGGACGGCCACGCCCGAAAAAAAATCAGCTTCCCTGCTGATCATCTGTTCAACACCCGAGCCAGACTCGCAGATAACAAGCTGCCACGTGCGGCCAAAAAAAAAAAAAAGAATGGTCTTCTTCTCTCAATTTTCACCTCACGGTACCTACAAGTCATACGGGAAACATACGGGGGCTGCTCTCGACCTGTAGGTGGGCGATACCGACCAGGGGACAGCCGGTAGCATCAGGGACCATGCCAACAGGACCAATCCCTGTCCCCTCCCCCACAAACATGAGCAAACTCTGCTCGCGGGTGCCAAGTATGCCCAGGAAGGTACTTAAAGACCAATGGGAATTGAACCCACACCCTCAACGCCACTTGCGAGCCTTGCCACCTTTTTTCTCTTTCGATACGGTAGTTCTTTTGGCCTGTCTGTTTCTTACTTCTCTATAGTTAGGACAAGTTATAATATGCTCGCCACACAGGCTGTAGAAAACCTGGTTTTCGACAGTTTTGCATAGCCACACAGACTTTCGAAGAATTGCGGCTCAAAAAACTTTCTACAGGTGTCAGAATGGTCCTTTGGACAGCCGCCCTCCAGCAACCGTTTCCACCAGCCTGCAGGTGATGGAAATTCGACAGTGGCCCGCGTACCTTTCGAAAATTGCGTTCGAATTTGCGTTGTCAGGGACTGTCCCATCAACTTCCGTGAAACCCGTCAGCCTGGCCATGACCAAAAACCTTGCCCCTCGACAGCCTGTGTGGCAAAGGGGGGGGAAATTGTCGACCGCCCGACTGTTTAAAATTTCCTGACACCTGTCGAAAATTTTTGACATTCGACAGCCTGTGTGGCGAGCCCCTAAGCATCGATTGTATCGTCCGAATCACCGACTTTCAAGACCCCTGGGGCTAAGTCCCACCACAGATGTTTTACCGCGTAGCAGTTGCGTTTTCTATCACGTGTGGCCGTAGGTGACACACAGGGTCCGTTGATGCAGGGCAATCTGAACGGAGGCCCCGATTTTTGTTTAACGGATCTCAAACCTTGGCATCCCCTCCAGCTTGAATGTCATCCACTTATACTCTGTTTTATGTTGGTTTTTCCATTTATTTGGGTGTGTACGAGGTTGCAATTTTACAGACGGCGGGAGAGGGGGCCATTCGTCACAATATCCTTGAATTATTTGTGCCTCTGACATTTGTACGTCCGTGGAGAACGGAAGGTCCCATAAGTGCACCCTTAAGGATAAATTGTTTGTTTGTGGCCACATTTGTGTGGCGTGGACATCGTCTGAACGGCGGTCTCGACCGTGATATTCGTCCGCATACATGGACGAAGTGCGTTTGTTGTGAACCGAACCACCCTCACTGTTTTCCGAAAAGGAAAGCCGCCCGAAGATGTGGAAACGGACAGTATGTGGTGTCCTCTGTCATCTCGGTCCGTTTCCATTGCCTTGTGGCCATAACACCGCTGTATCACAGAAATCCTCCAGTCCACCATTATGTTCACCGAAAGGTCGACATACCATTTCGGCTACTGTGTACTTCCTCTCGCCATCTCCTCAACTGTTCTTCTCCCTGTGTCGTGGACTGTCTGCTTGTTCCTCTCTCGTGTGCTGAGGCCTTTTCTGTCCATGGCCTCGGGTGGCGATCCGGTGGGCCTGTCCTGCATTCAGGACAGGGCCTATACGGAGTCCCAGTACGGAACGCCCGGTAAATTAAATGAGAATGCCATGCATGCGCCTGAAGGAGGGCCCGGGGGACTGTCCGCACATCTTCGTGGTGCACGTAGTTGGGAAAGTGGTTCATCGCAGTTATCTGAGTCCGGAAGTGAACCCCACTGGCAATACCCCTTTGGAGACACTGTGGGGACAGACGTCCCATCTTCCCAGCCTTCGGGGACACCTGTGACTCTCCGGAGGCGTCACGCGGTAGGGGTTCCATCGTGGGATGAAGACGGGTCACAGGCTCCTGAACAAAACAATGTCACGAGCAGGGTCACAGGTGATCCACCAACGGAAAAATTTCCCAGAAGTAAATAATAATTCTATAGTAAAATTGCAATATAAATTTCAAATTTTCATTCCATCTTAAAAAATATCCTTCCATTTTTCAAAATTTTCATCTTACTACTTGCAAACTTTCATTCCAAGAATAGGGTATCCCTTCTTATTTGAACTGCATTCTAGAGATGGAATGAAAGTTTGGATGAGTTCATGAAATATTTTAATTGGACTGTCACTCTAAGTAACAATTTTCAATCATAAATAGGTTGATCCAATCTAAATTAGAAGATATTTGTTGTAGTAGAATGAAATTTTAATTAAAACATTTCATAAACTCGTTCAGACTTTCATTCCATCTTGAACAGATAGATGTAGTTGGAAGGGAAAACTCATATTTAAACGGGAACCTATCAAATAAAACCAAAAAATTTTAGAATTGAACGAACATGGGAATGATAATTTCTAAATATGAAGGATTTTTTTTTTATTGAATGTTTTTTCATTTTTCATTTAAGACTCAGTCCAACAGAAAATTTCTCACGATAAATTAAAGTTGAAAAAACATTCCATAAAAAAAAAAATCCTTCATATTTACAAATTATAATTCCAACGTTCGTCCAATTCTAAAATTTACAGTTTTATTTGATAAGTTTCAGTCTAAGTATGAGCTTTCCTTTCCAACTACATCTATTTGTTCAAAATGGAATGAAAGTATGGACGAGTTTATGAAATGTTTTAATTAAACTTTCATTCTACTACAACAAATATCTTATAATTTAGATTGGATTAGTCTATTTATGACTGAAAATCCTTACTTAGAATGAAAGCCCAATTGTGGAGGAAGTATTGAGTTTGTTGCGCGGTATTGCGTTGGGATGTTTCGGGCTGGTGGGCAGGGAGTGTGGGTCGATGTTGTTGTGGTGGTTGTGTGGGTTGTGCTTGCTGTTCTTCTTTTTGCAGCAAGTTTTTCTTTCCTTTTTTGCCATCTGCCTTTTTGAGATCGCTTGACGGTGGGGGCATTCGTTCTTCTTTTTCTTGCTCTGGGTTGTGTTGGTGTTGTTGTAGTGTTATGGGTTAGCGACTGTTGTGTGGGGGTATGGTTGTGTGTAGGAACGACTGTCTGTTGTAGGGGTGTTACTTGGGGGATGTGTGTGTGTGCCGCAGGTGTGTTGGCGTGTTGCGGGGTTCGAAACACTATGTGTAGGGCTGGTGGAGGTGTGGTGAATGAAATCGTGGTTTGTCTGTGTCTGCTTCTTTGGATAATGTCTGAGGGAGAGTCTTTGCGTTTGCTTGCAGTGGGGGTTGTGAGATCAGTTCTTCTGTTTTCTGCAGAGAGGAGTGTTGTTGCGAAGGTAGTGGCGAACGACATCGTGGTATATGGGGCTCTATTACTAATTAGTTGGTCTGTTGTGTATGTAGGATTGTCTGCAGAGATGTAGGTGAGGTTCATCATGTATCGGCGCATGTAGAGGAAGGTTACTTGTAGCTTGACAGTCTGTCTCCATTCATTCTGGAGTTTGTCAAGGAGTTTCATCGACCTCATTCGGTCAAATGGGATGTTAGTCTCAAAAAGGTCGAGGTTCAAGTTGGGGATGTAGAACCAGAGCATGTGATCGAACCATGTGATCGAACCATGTGATCGATCCACTCTGAGTGGGGCAGAAGCACCTGAGATAGGGTCTTTCTGAGTTCCATAGATTTTTGAACTCATAAATGTCAGTGGTGGGTTTTTGGATGCCTTTGGTGTGGAGGACGGGGTGACATTTGGAGCATTTAGTGTTGTCGAGGGGGCGGAGCACAGGGAAGTTGGATTCCAGGTGCGCCTTCAAGTTGTTGGGTGAAAATGCACTGTTGCCTTTGGCAGCATCTTTCCTACAATGGTCCAATTCTGTTGCTGTCAGGTTGGCGAGGACAATATACGCTTGGATAGAGATAGGGGCGACGTGATTGAATGAGTCCAACTTCCAGATCTTGTTATCGTACTGAATGCTGCAGTTCTCAATCCATCGGAGAGTTTGGAAGGGGATGAATGGCGTATCAGGGGACATTTTGAAGTTGTTAGTCTTGCGAGAAGTGGGGGTAGAGGGTGTTGGTTGAGTAGCTTGTTGTTGCTTTTCCGCCATTCTTTTTATGAACTATTCTCTTTCAGCCTGAGTGACATTCATTCGGTCTAGTATTTTAAGCTTGTGTGCTTCAGATTCGTCAGTGGTAGTTATTTCCCCGGTGATAGTGATGTGTGCAGAGTTAAAGTCGTGCATATCCAAGATGGTTTTTTCAGTTACAGCGACGATCTTCGACATTTCGCGATTCTGCTTGTCCATCTGTTTGATGATGGAGGAGATGTCGCGGGCGTACGTCTTGATCACGGTGTCTTCTTCTCCGAGGAGTGTTCTTCATTTGCCAAGGATCATCGTCCGGTCCGAAAAAAGCAGATTCTCGATGAGGAACGACACTTGGGAGTTGGTAGCCGCGTGAACTTTGTGTCGTACATCTTGCGGCAGGGCGAGCATAACGATTTGAGCGTGGATGGTGGGTGGCGCTAGGTGGATGAAGGGGATGATGTCCGGGATCAGCTCTGTGTGCCACC